AAAAAAAAAAATTAGCTGGGCATGGTGGTGCACGCCTGTCAGGAGGCTGAGGCAGGAGAATTGCTGGAACCGGGAGAAGGAGGTTGCAGTGAGCCAAAATTGCGCCAACTGCACTCCAGCCTCGGGGACAGAGCGAGACGCCATCTCAAAATAAAAAAGTTTTGCTGCTCTATCCCACTGAGGCCAGCAGAGAAAGTACAAAAGCTTCGCAAGGGCCTTCCAGGGATTGGGAGGTACAGCTTCAGCTGAGAATCTAGAATGATGACTCAGGGCCTTCCTGAGGAGGGTCTCCCCGGGGCTGGCTCTGGTGGTGGCAAAGCAGGTCTGCAGAAGTGGGGAGCTCTCTGGTCTGTGCCTCCTCCTATTCTAGCCAGAACCCACCTGACCTAGGCTAGGGACCTCTCTCTGGAAAGACCTAGCTCCATGTGGCCTTCCCTCCACAGACATGGCCAACCTGTCTCTCCACGATCACGATGGCTCCAGTGGCGCCTCTGACCAGGACACGCTGGCCCCTTTGCCGCACCCGGGGGCTGCCCCGTGGCCCATGGCTTTCCCGTACCAGTACCCGCCACCCCCGCACCCCTACAACCCGCACCCGGGTTTCCCAGAGCTGGGCTACAGCTATGGCGGGGGCAGCGCCAGCAGTCAGCACAGCGAAGGTAAGGTAATGGGGCCGTGGTGGAAGGCCACAGGTGGGCCCTGGGCTTCACCTGCCGCCCAGCTGCCCCACGCCGGCCCTGTTTGCCTCCTACAGGCAGTCGGAGCAGTGGCTCCAACCGTAGCGGCAGTGATCGGAGGAAAGAGAAGGACCCGAAGGCCGGGGACTCCAAGTCGGGGGGCAGCGGCAGCGAATCGGACCACACGACACGCAGCAGCCTGCGGGGGCCGCGGGAGCGGGCGCCCAGCGAGCGCTCAGGCCCGGCGGCCAGTGAACACAGCCACCGCAGCCACCATTCTCTGGCCAGCAGCCTTCGCAGCCACCACACACACCCGAGCTATGGTCCTCCCGGCGTGCCCCCTCTCTACGGCCCCCCCATGCTGATGATGCCCCCACCGCCCACGGCCATGGGGCCCCCAGGAGCCCCTCCGGGCCGCGACCTGGCCTCAGTGCCCCCGGAACTGACCGCCAGCAGACAGTCCTTCCGCATGGCCATGGGAAACCCCAGTGAGTTCTTTGTGGATGTGATGTGAGCAGGGCCCCTCCCCACCTCCATTCCGCTCCCACCCTAGCCGGCTGCGTTCCTCTCCATCCGTCCGTCTTTTTTACTTTGTTTGGTACCTGAAAGGGAAATAAACGGAACTAAATCCAGGTGCGCTAACTGCTCGCAGGGTGCTGCAAGGGTGGAATGCACCTACCGATTGGCTCTGCAGCCCCCTAACCTGCCTCTGGCCCCAGTTCGTTTCCTCTGCCCACTAACTGCTGCACAGGAATTCCCAGAATCCTTTGCGTCCCCGGGACCCCCTCTGCAAACCCCCTTTTGGGAGTTGTCTCCGGCAGTGTCCTTGATGGGATGCTGACTCCCTCATTCTCTCATTTCCCCTTCAGCTCCCTTTCACCATTCACTCAGCTCCACTTCTCTTGACTTTACCCCACATTACTGACGCCAAAATACATTTGCTTCATCTGCCCCTACTAACCAACCCCTGCCTGCTGCCTCAGTCCTGCAACCTAAAGCTGTAGTCGCCTCCCGTAGCCATCGTGCTGTCCCTGCCTGTGCCAAGATCAGAGGTCCCGAGGGCCTCCTCGGTTGCCTGAGCAGCTACTGGCTTCCAGAGAGCATCTCTGCTCTACCCCTGCCCCTGCCCCTGCCTGCCCTGTGTGCTGGTTCCTTCGGATCCCTAACCCTACTAACCAGCAGGCTCATCTCACCTCCAGGCCTGAAACATTTCTTTTCTTTCTTTTTTCCTCCCCCAATTTTCCCTGGGCCTGGAGCAGCCAAGAATTTCGGGCTGTTTGACTTTCTGTGAGCCCCCAGCGAGGGGAGGCCCAGCCTCCGAGGAGACCAGGAACCCTGCTTCGGCAGCGCCTCAGGGCTTCCCAAGGATGTCCAGCCCCCACATCCACACGTTAACGTACCGAGTCACTAAGCTTCTGGGGAGGGCCCAGCTTCACCCATGCATGGAGACTCTTCTCCTTTCCAGAGAGAATCAGGCCACACAACACATGGCAGGCTGCGGGGGGCCTCTCTAGCTCTCTATCTTTCTCACTCCTGCATGCATCCATGCCCAGAGACACGCTCAGCTGCCTCTGCAAGTTCAGTTAAGCCTCGGGGCTGGCCCCTGCCCAAAGGGCTGGACCCTCTCTCCTAATCCTCTCCTAGGTTGTGGGGCTGGTCCCCTGACATCCTTCTCCCCTTCCTGGTAGCCCTCAAAACTCCCACACATGTCCCTAGCATTTTCGCACCTGGATAAAGCCCATAAGCTGGGTCAGGCTGGACTCCGCAGAGGACTTGCCCCACAACTGACAGGCCACTCCCACCCCCACACGCAACCTTACCCATTTTCACATTCATCATGGCCCCAGCGCAAGGACACAGGAGCCCACCGGCCAGTTGAGGCTGAGCAAGGACACTTCCAGGACTTCCAGACCGAGGGCCAGGTTTTATTTTTCACCTTATTCTCCACTTGAAACAAATCAAGATTTTCTCTTTAAGCCTCTGCTATAAATTCTCCTGGCTCCCCTGGGCTTTCATATTTTTGCGTCTGGGGCGTCAAAAGTGAGATGAAGACCTTACCTCTAGGTTTTGAGGTAAACCAAGGTAGGGACATTTTGGCATTCATTCAATTAACAATACTTGGCCAGGTGCGGTGGCTCACGTCTGTAATCCCAGCACTTTGGGAGGCTGAGGCAGGCGGATCGCTTGAGGTCAGGAGTTCAAGATCAGCCTGGCCAACATAGTGAAACCCCATCTCTACTAAAATTACAAAAATTGGATGGGTGTTTTGGTGCCTGACTGTAGTCTCAGCTACTCAGGAGGCTGAGGCATGAGAATCGCTTGAACCCAGGAAGTGGAGGTTGCAGTGAGTTGAGATCGCACCACTGCATCCACGCTGGGTGACAGAGTGCGATTCTGCCTCAAAAGCAAACAAAAACAATACTTGGGGTTTTGGTGAGCAGAGGGCTTTGCTGGAAGTGTGACTCAGTCTTGCCTGCCTTCTGGGAGCTCTAGATTTTTCCCAACCCAGTCCATGGCTTCCAGCCACCACAGCAGGGCTGTTCTCGCTCTGTCTTGTCCAACCCTCTTAATTTCTCCACGATTGCTCGTGCCTGTCAGTATCAGTGCTTCCGTCGTTCTATCTTGGATTCACTTCTCTTTCCTTTCTATTTACTCCCAAAATGGAGTCATTCATCCTGATATCCTCAATTGCTGCTGATATGCTGGTGATTCCCAAATATATAGCTCCAACCCCAACTTCCCCCAGACTTCAGATCTGTATTAGTGTTACCTACTGGACGTCTCCGGGCATTTCCATATGGACTCAACTCACGTGCCCAACAAACTATGTTTCTCCTGAATTCCCATCCTGGTTACCTTCATTGCAATCTACATAGGCTAACCAGCTAGAAACGTTTATGAGCTTACATTCCGTCTTCCCATATTTTACTCATCAGCACATCATATCCATTTCACGCCAACAATCTTTCTTGAATTTGCCCTCCCTCTCCCCTCTGTCTCTAGTTTAATTCACTGGAGCATGGGATTTGGAGTCAGGTTGTTTTGGGTTTGAATTCCAGCTCTACTATTTTTGGTTGTGTGATAGGAGAGTTATTTAACCTCTCTGAGCCTCAGTTCCCTCGTATGTAAAATGATGATAATAATACCTACCTCACAGGGTTGTTGTGAGGATTTAAATTAGATATTGTACGAAAAGTGCCTAGCACAGTGCCTGGCACACAGTAGAGTAGGTGCTCAATAAATGGTAGCTATTATTATTATTATTATTATTTTATCATTATTATTATTTACTCTAAATTGGTAGCAGTTTAGGGTATTTTTGGAAGATAAAGTTTTTTGCAAAGGCAGGAGTCTTGAAGCCTTGAATGCTGGTTCAAAAATTAGAAATGCCAATATTCAGTCATTTAATGACTTCAGGCTGTGACTACGATTTGAAGGAGGTCACATCTTCATCCAGTCACATCGTGGCTTCTGGCTGGAGGCTGTGAAGGACTGTAACATTTGCAACCAGATCTGCCCTTTCTTGCCCTGCCTTCTTCCCATGACAGGTGCAGTCCTGCCCAAGGAAGGCAGCAATTTATCTCTGCCAACAGAAAGAGAAGAGCCAACAGATTTTCTTCAGATTCTGCAAAAACCAAGCAGGCCCCTCATGTTTGAGGGTTGGCTCTATCTCCTCAGCTTGGATGTAAAGATTATGTTTATCAAAGAGGGGATTTCAAATCCCATGTCCAACTAAATTCAACTCTTTTCACATCTTCTGAGCAACATATATGCCTGTCACTAGAAGGCATAACAATCGTATAGCTAAGAGCATTGGCCCGTTCATGAAAAGCTTTAGCTGACCTCGAGGAAGAGTGCACAATCATGGATGTATTTGTGAAAAGCTTTAGTTTCTTCCCAAGTAGTCGCCTCCTTCCTCCCCGCTCTTCTCCTTGGGTCTTGAATCCCTTGGAAAAAGCTCATGTCTGGAACAAATATCTGAGAAAAGCTTGGGAGAATCAGAGGTACTGTTAGAAAGCAGTAAATTCAGCACAAACACTTATACTGTCAAGTTGCATTTATTTGTGTGTAAAGTAAGGACAGGCAGTCCTGGGACTCTGGAGAAAGAAAAGGCCTACAGCAATCCGAGGCTTAACAGATGTGCTTCTACAAATGGCATTAATATTCCAAAGCTCTCTGAAACAAATAGGAACAGGAAGAAGTGCAGAGACTACAATTCCCAGAGTGCTCAGTGAAAAAAAAAAATTGGGTGGAGCGGTGTATGCTGGAATGTGTATTTCTGGTAGGGCCGACTAAGGCCACGCCTATCCCTCCCCTGTGAGGCGGGGACGGTTTCTCGAAGGCAGTCGGTAGTTGTGGTTTTGCTAAACCTAGAGAGCTTCAAATTGCTAGCAAGGAGGCCGCGAAGCCTGACGGGATTTGTAGTCGGCGCGGGAGGCGGGCGCGCAAGCGCAGCCGGCCCCGGGGCGGGGCCCCGGCACTGCGGTGAAAGCCGAGGCAGCGGGCAGAGGAGCAGGGGGCGGGCGGACATCTTGGGATCCCGAGAGTGGCCGGGCCGGCAGAGCAGAGGGCCGCGGACACCAGGTGAGTCGGGCATCTGGCCTTATGGGTCGAGGGAGAACGCCGCGGGTTGTCTGTCCCGCCGCCCAGCTTTGCCCTGCCCTGCACTGAGCTGGGAGAAAAGCCGCCCACACCCGGGAGTGGCTTCAGCCTTCAGACCCGGGAGCGAGCGGACGGTGGGGCGGGGGCGCCCAGGGCGCGGTTGCAGGGCTGGCGGGGAGCGGCGCCCTCCACCTGACCCGCCTGGCGCCTCCCATGAGAGGGAGACCGCCTGGAATCCTCCCAGAGCAGGAACGCTGCGCAGCGCCCCCTCCCTAGGATCCTGCCAACCCCCTAGCCCTCCGCGCAAGGATAATTTTCCCGTCTCGTAGGACAGTGACACCCCCTTGTGCCGCCGTCTTGCACCGTGACAAGTCTCACACCATGCAGCGCCCCCTCCTCTCAGTTCAGTGACACCCCTTGGCTCTTCTATAGACTTGTGACAGCCCCTGCACCCCGTGGCACCATTTTTTCCCACGATGCCCTACCCAGAGGGTGGGCGAAAAGCCCACCCCCCCCCCATTACTCTGCAGCCTAATCCCAGGCAGGCTCTGTCAGCCCCAGCTTGTTCACCACTGTCAATCTCCCCCTGCCGGCTTTTCCTTCTTAAAGCCTTGACCTTTTCCATACTGGGAACTCTTACCTTCAGGTGCACCCCACCAGCCCAGTTTGCTGCTGTGGGCTCACCTGGGGACGCTGCCTGGCTGTCGCTGCAGGTCCAAGGCCCTACCTCCGCTTCTCCGGTGCTCTGCGCTACCTACCACCCGGTACCTGTGGACTTGGTTCCTTGCCCCAGGCTCTACCTCCATTTTGCATCTCCTTTCCTAGGCTGTTAGGGACTGAGGTATGGGATGAGTCGACCACTTTGAGACAGCGCTCACCCCTCCAGAAGACCTTGACAGCCACAGGAAAAGGCTTTATTTTCCATTTTAGAAAAGTCTGCTAAAGTACTCCCTGTGAAATTAATACCAGGGCTAATCCAGGAAATCTAAAACCAAAGTAGTGCCTTTTCTCAAACAACTTAAATTAATTTGACCCAAATAATTCAGGCATTCTGACATCCCTGGCTCTTGCTTATAGGTACGCAGGCCAGCAGTGAGTTACTAGATGGGCTTGGATCACGATTTCAGATGGAAGGATTTCTTAATTTTAGGAGCTTGCACCACCCCCACCCCCCACCGCAGTCCTTATTTTTATTTTATTCCAGAGCTTTTTGAAAGGGGAGCAGTGGTCAGAGGTAGCTGTAATAGCAGCTTGGGTGATGGAAGTGTAGTCTGCCAGCACTGGACCTTCCTCCTTTGCCCTTTGCCTGCTTATTCCACTGCCAGGAAGAGGTTAAGCCACACTCCCGGGCCGACAGTAGGGCCTGAGGGCTCCCTTCTCTTCTCCTCCTCACACCCTTTCCTGGAATGTGATTGCCGGAGGTTCAGGCCCTGCGACCTTCTCTGAAGGGTAGTGGAGCCCGAGAGGCCGGATGCTCTAAAGGTTAGGCCTGGGGGCTCCAGGCCTGAACCAGCTGTAGTAATTCCCACCGCCATTCCTGCAGCAGCAGGCAGGCAGGCAGGCAGGCCTTAGTGACACAGGCTGCAGCCTGAGAGTCTGCACGGGAGGTGGCCGAAAAGGATCATTTCTGAGCTCAGTGCTCGGGAGAGGGGGCGGGGGGTTGCTGATGCTCAGCCCCAGGAAAGGGAGGGTCAATACGGCCTTAGAGCCCTAGGCCTAATCTCTCTCCTTTTCTTCCTCCCATCCAGTGTGGAATAAACCGGAACTGGAGCCTGGCTGAGGGGAGGGGCCTGTCTGGGAGGGCTGCAGGGTCACTCGCTAGAGGGTTGAGTCAGGAAAAAAGCTCCAGTGACCTGCACAGCTCCACAGGGATGTTGGCAGGGGTTCTGAGGCCTTCTTTTACCCGCCCCCGCCTATCTTAGGTCTGTTCTCAGAGCGATGGGCCTCGGAGACTGATCTGCCGCCATGATTGGAGGCTTATTCATCTATAATCACAAGGGGGAGGTGCTCATCTCCCGAGTCTACCGAGATGACATCGGGTGAGTCCCCTGGCCCAGCCAGCTGTGCCCCCCTCCTTGCCTCCCCTTCCAGCCCCAGCATGCAGGATTAGGTCTGTTCCCACCAGAGGCTTGACTTGGGCCACCCCGACCCCTGGCTGCATCCTGGAAGCCCAGCTAGTTAGCCTGGCTCCCATTAGCTCTGGTGGTATTGGCCTGGCAGGCAGCCTGCAGGCCACGAGGTGGGACCTGTGGAATGGCAAGGTCCCACAGCCTGAGGAACTCCTGCCCTTCCTGCATCCTGTTTCTTTAGTTACAGGCCTGGGTGCTGAAGAGTGCTTTTGCCCAGGCTAGTTAATTCCTTCCTTGAGGAGGAGGAGGGAGAAGTGCCTCCAGTGGGTGGAGTTAGTGGCCAGGCTGGAGGTCCTAATCCATCTAAGCCTTGCTCTCAGAAGCCCTTCTCATGTCAAGCGCCTTCACTGGATTCTATTGAAAGCCTCTCCAGGCTGCCAAATCCTCTCACACTCCCTTTCTCAGGAGGAGTCAGGCTGCTGACTCAGCTGTCTTCAGTTCCTCTGGGCCATTCCTGCGGGAGAGGCTGGGAGGAAGCATGAGGCACTCTCCAGGTCATGGAGGGAGGGCAGGGAGGCCATGCTGCCCTCCCCGGCCTATCAGTAGACCCAGAACGGCTCCATGTGCTGGGCCCCTCAGACCTTCACACAGCCACAGCCTGCCTTCTCATTCTGTGCCCCCTGGACGCCCTCGTTCTTTCCAACTGGGGACCTAGCCTAGCCTGCGAGGTGCTAACAAGATGAGGCTCCTCTGGTTCCTGCTGCCTGTTCTTCCCCAGAGAGCTGGAGATACAGTCACAGGATGGGCCTGTCGCTGTGCCCCTCACCTGACTCCCTGGGCGCTGGGCTGGCCTGGCCTTTGAGGCCGTTTGTCTGTTGGCTGGTGGAGTGGCATGAGCTAGAGCAGCTGTGGCAGGGCCTGGCCTGGCTGAACCTGGCTGGCTAACCCCCCCAGCCCTCCGGCCTCGGATGGACTGGGCAAGCCGAGGCCGGTCATGCGCCGCCTTGCCTGTCTCGCCTGCCTCCGCCTCCTGGTGTGTGCTCCCTCCCGGTGTGTGTTCCCTCCCGGTGTGTTGTATGTCTAACCCTCTCTCTCGTTGCTGTCACTCTCCTCTTCTGCTGGCGTCATTTCTCTCATCCCATCTCATTGGCTGCCGTAGCAATAGGTAAGGGGCCTCTCAAGCTGCTGCCCAGGTACAGGTGGGGGGCCCTGCCCCCGTCATTGTTGTCCTGCATCCTTTTCCAGTCCCTGAACTTGCTCTGGGGTTGGATCCTGGCAAGAATGGGTTGCAGAGTTCCACAGCCCCTGCATACCTCTCCCTCCTTCGTGACTTCTGAAGTCATGCTGGCTTTGTCTGACGTCTGGAGGAGCTGGCCTTCCCCACTGGTGGGACACTAGCAGGAGGACTGGAGAAGAGGCAGTGTCTTCTGTCCTGGGCCTGGGAGCTTACGGGGAAGCTAGAGAAAGCCGGGAAACTGGGCCAGCCCTGGGAGTCAGGACTGTCTGTCTCTAAACCTGATGAACTTCACGTTGTTAAGGTTACGTTGGCCTTAATACCTGACTTCCCTATTTCTCGGGGGCTGTAGACACCAGCCCCGCTCGGGCCCGCTCCCCATGCCTCCACGGGCAGTCATGAGAAGGGAGCCACCCTAGTGGTTTAGGCACTGGTTTTCTTTAGAGCGTGTGTGTCAGACTTCTGTAGTAAGGAGGGTGGGGTGTTAGCAGCTGTGGTTGGTCCTTGTTGGGTGAGGTTGGCCTGGGTGCTGAGCAGGTCCCATGCGCCCTTTTCCCTCAGGAGGAACGCAGTGGATGCCTTTCGGGTCAATGTCATCCATGCCCGGCAGCAGGTGCGCAGCCCCGTCACCAACATTGCTCGCACCAGCTTCTTCCACGTCAAGCGGTCCAACATCTGGCTGGCAGCAGTCACCAAGCAGAATGTCAACGCTGCCATGGTCTTCGAATTCCTGTATAAGATGTGTGATGTGATGGCTGCCTACTTTGGCAAGATCAGCGAGGAAAACATCAAGAATAATTTTGTGCTCATATATGAGCTGCTGGATGGTGAGGCTGGTGGGCTGGCAGGGCGGCAGGCCCAGGGTGGAGAAGAAGCAAGCTGGGCCTGGCCTGAAGCTGGTGCCGGTCTGAGGCTCTGGTGCACTCTGAACTTTCTGAGTATCTGGTCTTTTGGGCAAGGATCTCTATGTCTCTTAGAAGGCCAGTTCACATCCAGACCTAAAGGCTGCTCTGAAGTAGAACACAGACATAGGCCAGCAGGTGTTTTGGCCTTTCAGGGGGCTTGGAACCTGAGTCAGGTTTGGTGGCTGAGCCTCCTGTATTCATCCTCTTTCCTTTGTGGCTTGGACCTTGGTTCACTGGCTCTCCTCCCCGTTTCCCATCTTGGCAGCTGCTTCAGATCCTGAGGGAGAGTGAGCTATTACAGGCCCCTTGAGGTGCACTGGTATCTCTGTTTCTCTGTAGAGTGTGATGTAAGGGAAGGGGAGTCCTTCCATCTTCTGAATGTCTGTTTTCTGGAGAAAACGGCTCAAAGCTTCTTGACTTGCCACCCGCTGGCCATGTGACTCTTCTGTTGATTTCTCTTTTTTTTGAGACAGGGTCTTGCTCTTGTCACATATGCTGAGTGCGGTGGTGCAGTCGAAGCTCACTGAAGCCTCAGCCTCCTGAGTAGACGGGACCATGGGCACATGCCACCATGCTTGGCTCATTTTACTATTTTTTGCAGAGCTGGGTCTCACTGTGTTGCCCAGGCTGGTCTTGAACTCCTGGTATCAAGTGATTCTTCCACCTTGGCCTCCCAAAGTGTTGGGATTACAGACATGAGCCTGCTGCGCCTGGCTTTGATTTCTCTATTGGAAAAAAATCAAACATTTGAATTGTTTTCCTATCAAGCACAAATCACAGAATACATGCTATAGAGCTAGAAGACTCTGTCGAGTTGATCCACACAGTCTTTGGAAGCTGTGCCAGCCAGACGTGTAGGCCCGAGTAGGGACTGGAATGAAGAAGCTTTGACCAGGGGCTGATGGTTCCCTTCTTTTTGCAGAGATTCTAGACTTTGGTTACCCACAGAATTCCGAGACAGGCGCACTGAAAACCTTCATCACCCAGCAGGGCATCAAGAGTCAGGTACTTGAATTGTGCAATCTGTAGTCAGGGTGGAGTCCAATCTGCCTTCATCTCCGCTGGCCCCTGAGCCTTGTCTGAGCTGACTCATGAGCCCTCCCGTGACAGGAAGTGCTGGCCTGAGCCTCCTGCTGTGATTGCAGGGTTAGTTTGCCCTGTGTGGTCCTCCCGCTGCAGGAGCAGCCAATTCAGCATCTCTGTTACCAGGAATACAGCTCTAGCAGTTTCCTTCTGCACTGAGGGGTGGGGGAGGAGGCCTGCTCCTGAGGCCTGGTGTTCTTGCAGGGAGAGAGCTTGGGCCCTTTCCTAGGATCCAAGCCTCATAGCTTTCTCCTCCTTTTCTGCCTCCCTTGCTGCTTCATGTGGGCACCTCGTTGGCCCTGCGGCCTGCAGCATCAGGTAAGCTGTTCCCTTAGCTTCCACCCTTGCAGCTTTGCTTTGTTTTATCCAGGCCCTGCCCTTTGGGGCTCACAGGGGAAAATGGATTACAGGTGGGGACTGGAAGGGAGGGGAATGAGGGTGGAATGGGGATAGAGACAGGATGAGGAAAGGGAGAGAGGAGTGAGGCTGTTGCTGTTTGTCTCTGCCCCCATGTAGACAAAAGAAGAGCAGTCACAGATCACCAGCCAGGTGACGGGGCAGATCGGCTGGCGGCGAGAGGGTATCAAGTATCGCCGGAATGAGCTCTTCCTGGACGTGCTGGAGAGTGTGAACCTGCTCATGTCCCCACAAGGTGAGGTCCCTTTCATAATAAAGCAGGAGGGGGCCAGGGCAGGATCCTGGGCCTGCCGCCTGACTCTGCTGCTCCCCATTTATCTGTTCATCACCAGGGCAGGTGCTGAGCGCCCATGTGTCGGGCCGGGTGGTGATGAAGAGCTACCTGAGTGGGATGCCTGAATGCAAATTTGGGATGAATGACAAGATCGTCATTGAAAAACAGGGCAAAGGCACAGCTGATGAAACAAGCAAGAGGTGCCTGAGGCAGGGAGCTGGCGGGAAGGGGTGTCCCACGGAGGGCTCAGTGGGGTCTAGTGAACCCAAGTTTCTTCTGAACTTCATTCCCACCATAATTGTAAACTCTCTGTTCCCGGTGGTAAGCCTGGCTGTTTGCTCTTCACATTAGTGCTGAGAGAGATGAGGGAATTGTCCTCAGAGAGCAGGCCCCTCTGTTTGGTCCCTAGGACCAAGCCTCTTCTGTACATACTAACAGCCTCTGTCCTGTGTGCCTGAAACACCCCAGTCCCGAGCAGCAGGGCTCTCTGGAGAGAATGAGCTTGCAAGCCTCCCTGTCATCCCAAACTCTGGGGCAGACCTGTGTGTCAGAAAGCTGCATTCTAGCAGGTTTTCATAGTCTATGGTGCTAGCCTGGGGTGGAGTGGTCTCCCAGCCTGACACCTGTCATTCTCCTATACCAATAAGATCTCCTCCTCTGCCCCTGCCTGCAGCGGGAAGCAATCAATTGCCATTGATGACTGCACCTTCCACCAGTGTGTACGACTCAGCAAGTTTGACTCTGAACGCAGCATCAGCTTCATCCCGCCAGATGGAGAGTTTGAGCTTATGAGGTGCCGCTGGGATGGGGGGAGGCAGCCAGTGCTGCTGGCAGAGATCGAGGAGGGGAAGTACATCAGGCTCTTTGGTGACCTTGCTTCCCATCCCTTAGGTATCGCACAACCAAGGACATCATCCTTCCTTTCCGGGTCATCCCGCTAGTGCGAGAAGTGGGACGCACCAAACTGGAGGTCAAGGTGGTCATCAAGTCCAACTTTAAACCCTCACTGCTGGCTCAGAAGATTGAGGTGAGGACAAGGGCCTCGGGGAGGAGGAAGAACTTGTCCCTAGGCATAAAGGCAGCTAATGTCACAGCCCAACAGAGCTCCCTGACAGTTGTGTCACTTCTAGGTGAGGATCCCAACCCCCCTGAACACAAGTGGGGTGCAGGTGATCTGCATGAAGGGGAAGGCCAAGTACAAGGCCAGCGAGAACGCCATCGTATGGAAGTGAGTCTTTCCTTCATTAGGCCACAGCAGGGCTCGAGATGGCAGTGTACCTTCTTGTTTTACCTTTGATCTTCTGCATGAGGGGTGGGGGGAGTGTGCTTGTGTGCTGTTCTAGGAGCCTCAGCTTGTACTGTCAGCCCTTATACCTCTGTGTGAGTATGTACACGCCTGCATTGGGGTTCATGCATGTGCTTATTTTTTAAGATGCTTCAGTGTTTCCCTACTTGCCCCTGTAATATATCTGTGAGGCAGACAGCAAAGGACAGCATGCCCAAGTGTCTAAGCAGAAACTGCATCCTGTCCTAAAGGAGTAGACCCAAGGCTCCATAGCAAGTGGTTTTCAGGGCCCTGACCACCTCTTCTTGTCCTGGCACCTCCTGGGCTCTCTCTTTGCTAAAAATGGGCAACTGCCCTTTAAACTCCTCCACGCTACAACAGGCTGCCCACTGCCCCTGTGTTCCCAGGATCAAGCGCATGGCAGGTATGAAGGAATCGCAGATCAGCGCAGAGATTGAGCTTCTGCCTACCAACGACAAGAAGAAATGGGCTCGACCCCCCATTTCCATGAACTTTGAGGTATGGCAGAGGAGGGACCTAGAGTCATGCCAGGGTATGCTGGAAAAGCTCTTAGAGGTCATCTTGATAAACACCTTAGAGGTGAGGAAACTTGAGGCCTAGAAAGAAGTGGCTTTAATTCATAGATCCATCCTTCCCCTTCAAGCCTCTTCGCAGAAATTACTATTCACAGTGAGGAAAATCTTTAACTTCTCTTGGCTTGTTCTAACACAGTTCTTTTGAAAAACTCAGATTGTGTAAATGCCAGGTGAGACACAAAGTTTGCTTGCAGACAGAATAATGGGCTGACTTTGTTTTACGCATGGTAGACGTCATTTTCTCTGCCTTATTTTTTTATTTTTTTTTTATTTTTCTTTTTTTTGAGACGGAGTTTCGCTCTTGTTACCCAGGCTGGAGTGCAATGGCGCGATCTCGGCTCACCACAACCTCCACCTCCCGGGTTCAGGCAATTCTCCTGCCTCAGCCTCCTGAGTAGCTGGGATTACAGGCACGCGCCACCATGCCCAGCTGATTTTTTGTATTTTTAGTAGAGACGGGGTTTCACCATGTTGACCAGGATGGTCTCGATCTCTTGACCTCGTGATCCACCCGCCTCGGCCTCCCAGAGTGCTGGGATTACAGGCTTGAGCCACCGCGCCCGGCCTTCTCCGCCTTATTTTTAAGTTCATAATACTGAGCAGGATAAGTATATTCTAATTTGGTTGCTGTCTCCTGCTGTTAAAGGAAGTGATTCAAGGTGTCACAGGCAGGGCTGTCTTCTTTAGTCACCTCTTAGAGGGTCCCTCACCCCCCAGCTGCTTTCAGGGCCGCAGCCATTCAAACACCTGTAGTGGGATGAAGTAGGGCAGGGCAACGGGACTTCCCAGAGGAGAGCGGCTGTAAGAGGAAGGCCACATTTCTAACGAGCTTTCCTTGCCCAGGTGCCATTTGCGCCCTCTGGCCTCAAGGTGCGCTACTTGAAGGTGTTTGAACCGAAGCTGAACTACAGCGACCACGATGTCATCAAATGGGTGCGCTACATTGGCCGCAGCGGCATTTATGAAACTCGATGCTAGCTGCCATTAGGCTGCTAGCCCACCTCCCCACCCACCCTCCTCCACAGGTCCAGGTGCCACTCCCTCCCTGCCACCACACGTCAGTGTCTCCTTCCTCCTGCTTTGCTGCCTTCCCTTTGCACCAGCCCCTGAGTCTAGGTCTGGGCCAAGCACATTGCAAGTGGGACTGGTGGAGCAGTCCCTGGGCACCCCAGGCTCCCTGGGCAGGGTGGCTGAGGTTCCTGCTCTCCCAGCCGCCTGTCTGTCCTGGCCTAGTGCCAGGCTCTGAGTGCTGTGACCAAAGCCAGGTGGGTTCCTTTTCCTTCCCACCCTGTGGCCACACCTCTGGAGTGGGAGGGTTGGCTGCCCCTCACTCGGAGCTCCCCCGAAGGCCAGTAACGGACCCCAGCCCCCAGTCCCACTCTGCTTTGGGATAGTGTGAGCTTCACTTTGTACGGTGTGACTTCGTCCAGTTACAGACCCAATAAACTCTGTGGAGTGGAGTTGTTGGTTGTGTTGACGTGAGAGCTAGGTGGGGAGGGGCTGGTGGTACTGCTGTTCCCAAAGTTTTCTGTTCTGAGTAGTCTAAAGGCGCTTTCCTTGTCTTGTCCCAGTCAGTCCCCTCCTGGACCATCCAAGCCCTTATCCTTGTGCGTTGTGGGCCCAGGTTTCCTGGCCCAAATAAGAAAGGCTCAAGGGTAAGCAGCCCCAGCGGGCCCCAGTACCCTGAGGGTAGATTGTTTCCCTAGCTCCATTTTATTCCCCCTGGTCACCGGACTCCCAGGCTCAAGAGATCTTAGCCTGCCTCGGCCTCCGGAGTAGCTGGGATTACAGGCGTGCACCACCACAGCACCCAGCTCTTTCTCTAATTCTTAGGCAGATGTTCTGTAATTAGATTAAGTATAGATGAAGCAAAATTCATATTTGGTCTTATAGCCATCCGGAGAAACTGACCTCTTCATTCCATCATTTACCCAGCCTTCCCAAATCTTGCTGAGTGGGTGGCAGGAGGACAGGCTTGTTTCTCCCCCTCCCAGGCAGTGCATTTTACAAACGTGCCCCTGGGGAATGCCCCAGATCCTGCTGGTGTGTTGGGGCAGATAAAAGAGCAAGTTTGCCTTCAGCAGTTTTCCCTTAACTTAGTTTCAGCTTTTTTACACTTGAAAAATCTACTAGAGAAAATTTCAAACATAAACTGAAGTAGAATAGTGTAATGGGCCAGGCGTGGTGGCTCATGCCTGTAATCCTAGCACTTTGGGAGGCTGAGGAGGGACAATTACCTGAGGCCGGGAATTCAAGACCAGCCTGACCAACATGCAGAAACCCCATCTTTACTAAAAGTACAAAATTAGCCAGGCATGGTGGGACATGCCTGTAATCCCAGCTACTCAGGAGGCTGAGGCAGGAGAATCACTTGAACCCAGGAGGCGGAGGTTATGGTGAGCCAAGATCACGCTCAAATTTTAAAATCGATGTTTCCCTTTAGGTCTTGCAATTTTGTCGAAGAAACTAGAGTTCTGTCATTTCTCCCATCAGAATTTGCCTGTTGTCCCCATGAAGTCACTTAATCCTCTTTACCTGTATTTCCTGTAAAATGGTTAACTATCAGGATTGATTGAGTCCTCATGATGGCAGGTGTGTGTTTTTTTTGTTTGTTTTTTTTGTTTTTTTTGAGACGGAGTTTCTTGATGCCCAGGCTGGAGTGCAATGGCTCGGTCTCCCCTCACCGCAACCTCCACCTCCCAGGTTCAAGCGATCAAGCGATTCTCCTGCCTCAGCCTTCTGAACAGCTGGGATTACAAGCATGCTCCACCACGCCCTGCTAATTTTGTATTTTTAGTAGAGATGGGGTTTCTCCATGTTGGTCAGGCTGGTCTCAAACTCCCGACCTCAGGAGATCAGCACTCCTCGGCCTCCCAAAGTGCTGGGATTACCGGTGTGAGCGCCCGGCTGATGGCAATGTTTTTAATCCAAAGGGATGAATGCGTAGTAATGTAATTTTGGGTGCCACTTTAGAGGCCGATTGGAGGACTTTTCACGTTAAATATAAAGCAGTAACGTCATTTTGGAGGAAATTCCTAGCTTCCTGAGGGAATCGGTGAAAGGAAGTAGCCTTTTACTGGCATTTACTGAGATTCAGGGTGCGAAGAAGTCGGCTTTGGGTGTAGGTAGGGAATAAATACCAGTGAATTTATACAAGCCACGTTGTCCTTCTGGTTTTCTTGCCCTTTGGCGGTGGATTTGGTCGTGCCCTGGGGTGGTGGAAGAACTGAATGGGCTTAATTCGCAAAGGTCAGCTCAATTATCAAGTATGAAAAGACAGGTCGCGGCGGGCAGGCGGGTGGCGCTGACCACCAGGCTGAGGAGCCCGTAGGATCCGGGGGCCCCGAAAGCAAAGCACTGAGGTGGGGGGGAGTTTGCTGGAGAGTGACAGTGTGCTGGAAGACCTGTTACAGCGGGAGCGGGAGCTCAGCGCCCAGAGTCAGGGACCAGGGTGAATCAGCAGCTCTGGGCGGCCTCCAAAATGGGCCTGGCTGGGTGCGCAGCCACAGCAGACGCGCCTCGAGGGAGCGCATAAAACCCGGCAAAGCCAAAGTGCTTTATCAGCCGCCTGTCTCTTGGGAGGCTCCCACCTGCCAGACCACCGGTGCCTCGCGCCCTGATAAACCTTGAGCTCTCAGCCGCCGCCCCACCCCTCGCTCCGGGAACTCCACCTCCCAGAAGGCAGCGCGAACCGCACGTGTGACTAATCTTTCCGCAGAAAAGGTGTTGCGCACGCGCAGAGAGGGCGGTCCGGCGCAGGCTCAGCGCCTCTCTGGGCCCCGCGCGCCCCGCCCGCCAGGCTCCTTGCTCTCCGCTCCTTTCTTGTGTCACCGCTACGCATGCGCCTTGCAAGGAGGGGGCGAGATTTCGGGGACAGGGCGGGGGGCGGGCCTAGGCCAGGGGCTCACAGCGACTGCGCGGACTGGTTCTCGGCTGGAACATGGCGACTTGCGCCGAAATCCTGCGGAGCGAGTTCCCCGAAATTGACGGACAGGTCTTCGACTACGTGACGGGTAAGCAGAACTGAATCAGCCGGCTGAGGAGACCGCAGTGGAGGCCGGGGCAAAGCCTAAGCGAGCGTCGTGCCGGGGACCGTTGCCAGGCCTCTCCTCGGCATGACCTCTTGTCCCGGGGGCCGGTTGGGGCTCGAACCTGGACTGGGGCCGCTGTTTGGGGAAACTGCTTGTGTGTCCTCCCTACCTGATACCTTCCTCGTCTGCCACGCCCTGCGCAGGCGTCTTGCACAGCGGCAGCTCGGACTTTGAGTCTGTGGATGACCTGGTGGAAGCTGTGGGGGAACTATTGCAAGAGGTGTCCGGGGACAGCAAGGATGACGCGGGCATCAGGGCCGTGTGCCAGCGCATGTACAACACTCTGCGCCTGTATGTGCCAGGGAGTAGGGGTTGATGGGGGCGAAGGGAGGGTGAACGGTCCGGAGACGAGGTGGGGGAAGAAGGTCTGACGGCCATAGAGCTTTTCTCTCAACTCCTAACTTTGCGCTTTCTGTCCCTACCGACATAGGGCTGAACCACAGAGCCAGGGAAATAGCCAGGTGCTACTGGACGCGCCTATCCAGCTGTCAAAGATAACAGAGAACTACGGTGAGAGTGCGACAGCGCGGGGAGGTTGAACTAACTGCCCTTGTCCTTTTCTCCGCCCCTACCCATCTGCCCCTGCAGCTTAGGGCTCCTACTACTGCTTTTCCACAGGACAGGGTTGTAGGAGCTAGTTGATGTCTTTACCGAGGGCAAAAGAGCCCATGGTGGGGGGGGGGTGGTCGGGGAGGCTGTTGTTGGAGGGTTCTCCCAGCTCTTGGGTATGGTAGGAAGCATAGGAGCCTGGAGCTGGACAGACTTGGTTTCACTCTCCAATTTTGCAACTTACTAACCAGCTGCATGATCTTGTTAGAGTTGGTTATCTGTCCCCACCCCCGCCTATGCCTCTGTATTCTTTTATGTGAGGTTTTTTGTTTGTTTTTGTTTTTTAAGTGCAAGGAAGATAATAGCCATCTATCTCCAGGATTATAAAGTTTTGTAGAAAACGTCTGTGTCTGTGCCTGGTTCATATTAGTCACTCAAAGTGTTAGTTTCCCTTCCCTCAGGGAGAAGGTGACTGCTTTTCTTATCGCTTACAGACTGTGGAACCAAACTTCCAGGACTGCTAAAGAGGGAACAGTCCTCGGTGAGGAGGAGGAAGCAAGGGAGGGAGCCTGTGATGGGGTTGGGAGTGGACTGCCTAATTGGAGGATCTTTTGGGGGGATTTCTGACTGTGTCTTTCCCTGAGCCTTTGAGTCTGTTCATCTTGGGTAAGTTAAGAGGGTTTACTTGAGGTGTTCTCTCTTCGGGTTCCTTTCTGAGCCTACACTCTAGAGTGAAGTCGATGTGTTTGGATCCTTAGACAGTGAATGCAAAGAAGCTTGAGAAGGCCGAGGCTCGACTTAAGGCAAAGCAGGAGAAGCGGTCAGAGAGGGACACGCTCAAGACCAGCAACCCTCTGTGAGTGGGGAAAGCATGGCTCAGAAGAGAGCAGAGCAGTGTCTGCCTGGACAGAAGGTGGTGGGGAGCACTAAGAGCTGTCTGTTTCTCCCTTTAAAGAGTCTTAGAAGAGGCATCAGCCAGCCAGGCAGGCAGCAGAAAGGAGAGTCGATTGGAATCATCTGGCAAGAACAAATCCTATGATGTGCGAATTGAGAACTTCGATGTGTCTTTCGGGGACAGGTGAGGGAATGGTGGGGGCGGGGCTTGGCTTTCTTTTTCTAATTAGAGGAGAATTTAGAGAGATGAAATGGGGCTACAAACAATGTTAGGTTTATCGTTAAACTATCTGTGCACCTGTTTTCAGAGCAGCTTTGGTCTCCTTTCTCCCCTCCTGCAGAGTACTGCTGGCTGGAGCTGATGTGAACCTGGCATGGGGCCGCCGTTACGGGCTGGTGGGGCGGAATGGGCTGGGGAAGACCACGTTACTGAAGATGCTGGCCACCCGGAGTCTGCGGGTTCCAGCCCACATTTCCCTGCTGCACGTTGAGCAAGAGGTTGCTGGAGATGACACCCCTGCCCTACAGAGTGTGCTGGAGAGTGACAGTGTGCGGGAGGGCCTGTTACGGCGGGAGCGGGAACTCAGCGCCCAGATTGCTGCTGGCAGGTGAGGGCTTCAGGCTAGAGAGTAACTAGCAGCTGCTGGCCCTCACAGAGTGCCTGCCGTGCTGGAACAATCCACCATTTGCGTGTCCATCCTAGTAATCAGCAGAGCTTAGAACTTGGCACCCTGGGACTCAACAGCCCTTGTTCTTTCCACAGTGCCCAGTGTCCTCATTACCTTGAGCAGATCCTTCCTGTACTCTCTTCCTCTTCTAGCCACAAGGTAGCCAGTGGCCTCTTTCCAGCTGTATAGGGTGCAGGACATCCTCCTGGACTGCCCCCACTTAGGCCAGTTGCTGTTTCTCCTCCCTCCAGGGCGGAG